TGGTGAAAAGAGAGACCATAAAACTGTAGAGAACTCTCTAAGCTGCTGAAGGCTTTCTGAATCATGATTACAGTGACAGGTATGCTACTACATCTATTTGTCAAAACTAAACACTTAAAACTGGCGAATTCTATTATAAGTAATGCATATTTTATAGTGGACTGAAACTGTGTCCTATCAAAAAGATATCCATATGTTCTAACCTCCAATACCTAAGAAACTACCTACATTTGGAAAGAGGATCTTTACAGGGGTGATTACAGATCTTGAGAGACTATCCTGTACTTGATACTACTTTTTTAAAGATTTATTTATTTAATATGTATTACAGTGTTCTGCCTGCATGTATGCCTGCACACCAGAAAAGGACAGCAGATCTCATTACAGATGGTTATAAGCTAACATGTAGTTGCTAGGAATTGAACTCAGGACCACTGGAGGAGCAGTCAGTACTCTTAACCACTGAGGCACTTCTCTAGCCCCTGACTATCCTGTACTTATGATGGCCCTAAATTCAATGACTGATGTCATTCTACCAGGATATAGAAGAGAATTTGAGGAAGAGGGGAAATACAGAAGAAAAGGCCATTTGAGGAAGAACCAAATGAAATGAAATGATATAGCTGAGAGTCACAGAACATCAAAGACTGCCCAAACTCACCATAAACTGGGATAATCAAAAACTCTGAAAGGAACCAACCCTGTGACACCTTGATTTCAGACTTTCAGCCTCTAGAACTGTAAGACAATGAAGTTATGCTATTTAGCCCCAAATCAAAAACAACCAAAACCAAAACAAACCTTTTCAATGGTGAATTACAAATAGGCTATCAAACAATGGAAAGGTGGAAAGTCTCGGTAAAAGAATGAAGGCTATAAAAAAGAAATGCAAGTTTGAAAACTAAAAAACACAATGATCATAATACAACTGACGATCCATACTCAGACATATCATGACAACCCTATTAAAATCTAAAGACAGAGCTGGAAACATGGGTCCGGAGTTAAGAGCACTTGATATTCCTGCAGATGTACAGGATTTGGTTCCCTGCACCCACATGGCAGCTTACAACTATCTATAACTACAGTTCTGGGGATCCAATACTCTCTTCTGGACTCTGTGAGAAGTACATACATGTGGTGTATTTACATACATGCAGGCAAACACTCATACACATAAATCTTTTAGAATCCTAAAAATTAAAGACCACCTCTTGAAAGTATCTTCCATACCAGGTAGTCCTCCAAGGCAGCAGCAATTCAGATGACTACAGATTTATCATCAGTAATAGAACCAGAGGCAGATAAAACAGTAAGGAAATGAAATTATTGGAAAATAACATAATCCAACTGGATCCAACTGACACTTACTGAACACTCTACCCAGCAAAACAGAGTGTACATGGTGTCCAGGGACATGTGGAACATTCATCCTGAATCACAGCCATTTAGAATTGGAATTATACAAAATATGTTCTACTTAATATAAAACTAAACTAGAAACCAATTAAAAGATAATGGAAGCCTGGATGGTGGTACACACCTTTAATCTTAGAACCCAGGATGCAGAAGCAGGTGAATCTCTGAGTTCAAGATCAGCCAGGTCTACATAGTAAGACCCTGTCCTAAGAGGAAAAAACAAAAAACAAACAAAAACAAAACAAAAAACAAAAACTACATACTAGGAAAATAAACAACATACTTATGAATGAATTATGTGTCAAATAAGAGATTTGACTGAGTAAAAGAAAATATATGAAAACATCTGAGATGTGGGAAAAGGAAGACTAAAAGGAAGTTACAGCATTAAAATGTTTTTATTAGAAAAGGAAGTCTTAAAACAATAAACTATAACCCAGGACTAACAAGTAAAGGAAAGGAAAGGGCCACCACAAACAGAAGGAAATAATAAAGACAGTAGAAGTCATCAGGCAGTGGTGGCGCACACCTTTAATCCCAGCACTCAGGAGGCAGAAGCAGGCAGATTTCTGAGTTTGAGGAGAGCCTGGTTTACAGAGATAGTTCCATGACAGCCAGGGCTACACAAAGAAATCCTGTCTCACAAAAACAAACAAAAAAGATAGTACAAGTCAATGAACCTGAAAATAGAAGAGAAAATGAAACCCTAACTTAAGAGATCAGCAACTTTGTTAAATCCCTAGAAAGACAAAGCAAAAAAAGGAGAAGAGAGGGATATCAATTTAATAGTACCTCCTTATTCGTGGGGTATACATCTCAAGTAGCCTAGTTAATGCTTGATACCTCAGGTAGTACAGAACTATTCTCTCTCTCTCTCTCAAGTTAACTGATTGTTAAGTTAGGTCTAGTTAGATGTTAACAGTAATAAAACCTGACAACACATCGTAAAGGCACATCATCAGCTCCTCTAATTCTGAGCTCTCAAGTTTTAAGAATGAACCATTACCAGCAACATGAGGTCTTCAGCTTATAGACCCACATGACACTTTTCAGTCTCTATAATTCATAGTCTTGTTACCCCAAAAAAAGAAAAACAAAATCTTCTCCCATCTTCCTATCCTCATTGCTTTACATCTTTTTGGTTCTGCATCTGTGGAGTAGAAAGAGCAGTGCATGCCATGACAGGTATGCATGGGACTGTAGTCAGATGAAATAGTTTCAGTCTGTAAACAAAAAAGAAAGAAAGAAAGAAAATTCCTTATGCTTTACTTGTATATCATTTCCCTGCAAACTCTTGACAACCACTGGCTTTGTAGAATCTCCAAAGATTTCCCTCATTGAGGATGTCATATTTGAAATCACATTGTGTAGTTTTTTTTTTTTTTAAGATTGATTTCTTACTTAGGAATATACAAAAAACAAACAAACAAAAAAACAAAAACACTGAATTCTTTCATTCTAGAATTCATTCTAGTGCCAAATAGTATTCCATTTACTATAGCTATTGAAAAGTAACTCATTTGCTTTCAAGTTTTGGCAATTATGAAAAGCTGCCACAAAAATTCAGACACAGAACTGGGAGAGATGGTTCAGTGGTTGTTCTTACAGAGGACTTGGATTTCAGTCTCAGCAGTCACATGGTGACTTAGTCATCCCTAACTCCAGTTCCAGGGGGTCCAATGCCCTCCTCTGACCTCCCTGGGCACTCAAGTGGTGCACAAACATGCAATCAAGATACGAAAACATATAAAATAAACATTTAAAAAATTAATCCAGATACAGGGGCTGGAGATATGAGTCAGCTGTTAAAAGCACATACTGCTCTTACAGTAGACCCCTTTAGTTCCCAGACCCTCATTGGACAGCTCACCTGTAACTCCGGCTCCAGGGGACCTGATGCCTCCCGGAGAATCTGACTCAGGTATGCACACTCAAAAACATAAAAAAGTCTTAGAGCAAAATCAAACACACAACTTGAGTACAGGGACCTGGGGAATACAGCTCAGGGCTCCTTCAGCAAGCAGGCAAACATAATGGATCTGAATTCAAATCCCTGGAACCTGTGTTAAAAAAAAAAAAAAAAAAAAAAAAAAAACCCTGGCCATGGTGACACTCATGATGCCAAGACCAGAGATGCAAAGACAGGCAGGTTCTTGAGGCTCACTAACCAGAATACTTAGCCTACTACACAAACGAAAGGTAAGTGAGTCCTTTCCTGTTTTAAAAAAAAAAAAAAAAAAAAAAAAAAAAAAAAAAAAAAAGAGGTGTGTACTTAGAGGGAGATACTGGAGGTAGTCTTCTGGCCTTCACATATGCGCACTTTTGCACACACACCCTCAAGCCCCTCCAAATAAACAACAAAAAAGCTCAACCTAGGTACATGTGTTTGTTCATCAAATTTATGTTCACTTGGGTACATGCCAGTGTGTGAAACTGCTAAGTCACACAGTAACCGTAAAGGTAACATTCTGTATTCCTTCCATTTGTGAATGTTGGGCATTTTATGTTTACTTTGAGTCAAAGGTGAGTTTCCCATAATGCCCTATGACATTGAACATCTTTTTAATGTTATCTGCATGTTTAGGTTTCTGTTAAAATGGTTGTGAATTTTCTTAAGATGGTGGTTGTGTGCATGCATTAGTAAGACTTCTTTATCATGTCTTTTGTAATCCTCTCTCTTTCCACTAATTATCTTTTGAGAATAAGTGATCATTGCATTATCGTGCAACTTAATGACACCAGTAATAACACTTTTTGTTTTTTTTGGCCTTGAGATTTCACAATTACCATTTCAGAGGGCTACAAAATAATCACATTTCGTCCTCCACAGCCCGCCGTGGCAGATGAAGGCTCATTTGCCAGCTCTCAATCGCCACTGTCGCACTCGGTGTTTTCCAGCTGGCCAGGGTGACTCAGCCCTGACAGAGCAGCTAGGAGCACCTCTTTTCAAGGGCTCTCTCAGAACGAGCCGAAAAGCAAAGCAGAACTGGCATCGTTTCCGCGGGCAGGCCTCCGGGATCGACGTGGGAACCGTCGTGATCGGCGGA